GAAGAGGAACAACGGAACAAAGCACCCACCTGGACTAGAGTGAAAATCTCTGATGACAATAGACTGCGATCAGTTAGCCAAATCGGATTCAATCCAAGCCAGGGTATAACTTCTCAACCCACAACGGGCGTACAATCTTTAAATTAGGACACCATGGTCGATGGTGTCGAAGGCAGGACGATGACAACATCATCACGATTATCAAAATATATGTCATTAAAAACGCGCAACAAGACTGTTCTGGTGCTGTGATTTACCCGGTATGCTGACGGAGTTGCAGTGTACTCATACCCATTTTTTCTTGGACAAATCTGTCCAAGAGGGGAAAGGTGCAATGAGGTTAACTCTGCGTGAAGCACCAACCCGTGAAACAAGGCCAGACCACTACACCGGCAACTCCGTGCCCTACTCTTTACGACAAGTACGTGGGTTCTTTAACGTCCCCTACTGACCAGATGCAGGAGACGGGGCCTACAATTTATCATCCTTATCCGAGAAGACTAGAACATCTAACCATTTGCAGATGTCATTCCAAAGGCAGCATGTTCTCCTCAGTTATTTTAAGACCCCGAGTGTTGGTCCGGTCTGAGGCTCGAACCCGACACCTCCCGCACGGCAGTCCGGCGCTCTACAACTGAGCTAACCGGTCGGTGTGCAAAGCATTGATGCCAAGATGGCGTTTAAGCTAAATTGCTACAATGCGCTTAGTAAAGAACACTGACAGACCGTTACGTTGACTAAACTTCCTGTACCGTTATCCAACGTCAGCTCGAGCTTTTAATGTCCTCGACGCTGTCTCGAAAACAGTTCGAAAACGTTTCTTACAAAATTAAAGCCTAGTAATGTACGGCAAAACGAAGAGGGACGACTAAACGATAGGAAGGGGGAGAGTCTTGAAAGTTTGTTTTCTGTACATGCGCAAATTAGGAGACCTGCAATTTGGCATCAGGAACAAAAGCCATAGTAGCGTTCTACTTGTAAACAACGTTATGGGTAGTATTGCGACATTAAGTACAGCAATGCTCGACTACTCTCCTACAACCAAAGAAGGCGTTTACCCCATCTTCCGATAAGACTCGATATCTTTCGACTAGGCAGACTCAACATAAAGAGAAAAACGAGACAGGATTGACAACACGCCCGCAGAACTGGTAGCAACAAGCTAATAGAGAGATCGTGACAATCAACGTTAATGACAAATTATAAAAACTATTAACCATGCGGCCCTCGAATGAAAAGTTAAGACATTTACAAGAAGAAACATTCGATAATTCAAAATCTGATTTATATTCAGTAAGTGTATTTTGCCCAATTGACTTCGCGGATTTGAAAAACGTATAAGGGCCTTTATACCCGATAAATTCGGCAAACTGAAAAGTCAGGGGACGGCTTTGAATTCAGCGTCAAATACGGGTTTGAATGACACAAACAATGGAATACCATTAGGACGAACATTTTATAAAAAGAATAGTAACAAATATGAAATTATATTTAAAATGGCTCTCCTAATTTGCAAGTCCATGAAAAGTCACAAATTTGATCTTCAAAAAAAGTCACTTAAAACAAAATCATCCTTAGCCGAACAAAAAACCTTCGACCGGACAGGACGTATTCTAAAACGAAATACGAAGTTCTCCAACTAAGAAAGCACCAAACTGCGGTTCACGTTACCATTGTAAGAAGGAATGGAGGAAATGAGTAACAGGCATCATAATTTACTTCTACTTGTTTGCAACTCCCTAAAAAAATAATTATCAATGCCTATTACTCCGCGTTGCAGTTAGATTAAGCGACACTCTACTCGAGCTGAGGAGGATAAAGTTCAGAGAATTATTCCCTCATATAGGCTCTCTACCCATCGTAATCCCTCTAAAGTTATTTTTGGAACCCATCGGTTTTCCCGCGGATAATATTTCTTCGCATGTTGCGTGGACGTTTCGTGGAGGGATGAAAGTGCAAAAGCAGGTCGGGAGTGCGGGAGTTACGATGAATGCGAAACAAGAGAGGATAAAGAGGGTTTCTCCTCTCTTAATACAAAATGAGATCTTTTTTGATTTTTTTTTGAGCATGTAATCTGTATCAATCGGCATTGGCATCAAGAAACAGAAAATCGTCAGAAGATTCACAAAGGAAATTAAGTTCGAAATAAAGTGTTGACAGGCTCAACACGACTCATAAGCTCATGAGTCTGAAACGTGACCGCCTAAGAGTATGCTTCAAAACAACAACGGTTTTTTACTTTTTCTTTTATAAGTCTTACAGCACTTACTACAATCACTTCCTTGAAGTCGCAGTCGTCTACAAAACGTATACATGCGACTCGTCTTCCTAAGGCTACAGTTTTCTTAACCTAACCTACGTCTTCCGCCAACTTAAACAATTTGATTCGCGAACGTCGCAAAGCTTTGCGTGGGACTTCGTCCACCTGTCAACATTGGTAAAATTAAAGACATATGATTGGCACTCACTCAACCCTCTTGAGAACAACAGATCTCAGAGAAGATCTTAAAAAAAACGTAGAGGGATTATGATGGGTATAGGGCCCATGCGGGGGAATAATTCTCTGATCATGGGCTTTATCCTCTCTTGTCTCGAGCAATCTTTTCGACTTGTGCAATTGGATAACTGTAAAATTTCTTTCATTTGGATAGCCGTATTGGAAAGGTAAGTAAACGCTTCGACTGTGTACTTCAGTTGCATAATGCAGTTGTATAAATGTGATTGCTGCTTTTGTTTTACTTTTCTCAATCAACACGTTTTAAAACGAAAATTGCATTATTCAGCAATCCTATTCATATGAAATGTTCCAGGGACGTTTTTGAAGCTGTCCAAAGAACTCACAGCATGTGTTTAATCACTAGATAATTACTACTGTTCGTGTTCTAAACATTACATATATACTACTTAAAAGTTCAAACACAAATGGAGAATGTCCTTTTTTTAAAATCTTTGTTGATTTTCGCTCTTCTTAAAGAAAAAGAAGAGTGTTCGAAAATGTACTTGAAGCTGCTCTGGAATTATCTTCTCTAAATTTTCTTGCGAACTTTAACCAGCTATTCCTTGCCCTTTTGAAAAATAATGTCAATTATTTTCAGTCGAGGAACGTAATCGACGCCATTTTGGATTTGCTCTCAAATTTAGATAATGACGCATGCATTCTACAAATAGAAAGCCGGAGGCCCCGATGGGAACGTCTAACCCCTGTTTCCTGTTGTTAAGATTGTTCCTTGGGACATTATGCAAAGTGAGATCAATTTTTTTATTCAAATAACAGACTTCGGCTTTATAGGGAAGCCAGTCGAATATCGCAGTTATGAAATTGAGGCAGGGCTAGTGGAAATCCTAAATATAACATCAGACAATCGAGCAAAGACATGAACAGTATTCGGTGTTCTAGATAAACACCTCTTATTAAGTAAACGGAAAAACCTCTTTGCATTTATATCTTCTTCGCGGAATTAAGATTCTGATTCTTTAGCAGGTTGACTGTCGAAAACAGACGAAATTTAATATCATTCTGCAAGGTATTTCGAATTTGCCAACTTAAAGCAACCGGGAACTTTAAGAGGAAATAATACTAAACCATACGGTTGACTGGTCTAACCACCAAATATGTCGCAACTGAATGGATGTCGTAAAGGAACACCACCATGAAACCAATTTGAATTGAGTTTCTTACAAAAATCGCCACACAGCATTTGCAAACGTAGCCGAATCGGTTAGGTTTAAGCCTGCAAAATTAGTTACAAAACAATTTAGTGTAAAGCTGCTTTGTGTGCACAAGAATCGCGCACAGTGTGCTTTGTCGGGTGACAAAGCCAACAGACAATATCATCTAAAAATATCACACTGCTGTTCAGTCACGCGACAATTAGAGAGCGGTTAATGATCATTCAAATTCTTCCGATTCTTTAGTTTTAATTACCTTGACTGTAGCAGCTTGTTGCAAATTGAAAATTTTAAACAGACATTTTACGATGTTTTTTAAAGTCGTGGTGGTTGAATACTTGTAGCGTATGTTTTTACCGCGTAACCACGCCCCAAGTGCTATTAGTAAAGAATGTTTCGTGCTGTGTGTCAGCAAAGAATACTGGGTCAAAAGGTTAAAATATTAGCCAATGCAACCATGATAGAAAACAAAGATTTGCCTTGACATATCCGCAATATCTTTTAGTAGCCTATCAGATTTTACTACGAGTTACATACCGGTTTGAGCTTATAACTTGTCCCTATACACTTCAAGGTCACGTAACAAGAAACAATCAAGAAAAGGACATTCGACGAACAAATCTCAATTCAAAGAACGCCATACTTAATCAGGGTTCATGGTTACGAAAAACACGTTTTGAAATCGTACTACGAGACGGGTATTTTAAAATACACCTCTATTATGTATTGAACTGATAACACAACAGACTCCAAGCCAAGGGACGCAAAGCAACTTGGTGGTCGCCCAGCCTGGCTTCATTTTGAATACGAATATAGAGTTCAACCATGGACATCACACCAACTTGAACCGGCGTCAGTCAAGGAAAGACGCCTTAAAGTTTAAGTAGACGACGAAAACTGAGAAGGAGAAAAGAAAAGAGCGAAAAGCCAGCGAAGGAAGCAGACAAGAAAGGAACCGCGCGACGGCACAAAATGTGGTCATTTTGCCGCACTTTTGCCATAGGAACAGAGACGGAGATTACAACCATAGTACACAACTTCAATCAACAAGGCAAAAAAGAAACACTGAATTTAAGTGATCGATTTGGTCACAATTTCTGTTCGGCACTCCCCCAAGGTGTCTCTGTTCCGATAGTGGAACTGGCACATTCCAAGACGTATCCCCGGATACTAGAGACACCGTAAGGTATAGATCCATACGTCAATAATAACGTACCGAAGTAAGACTCGTTCTCAGGTAGAAATGTTCGCGCAAGGGCAACAGTGACGGAGGTATGGCATCGCCAAACGCAACGCAAGACTTGAAAGTGGCAAAGTGAGATGACAAGGCAATGAACCAAGCGTATCAGCAAGAGGAAGTAGAGAAGTATAAGGTGAGAGCCCGAAACCCTCGACATTCTGCTGCAATTTTCATAAATTAGTACAGTAGAACCTCGATAACTCGAACTAACTCGAATTCCCAGCTCGCTCGCACTAAATTTCCTATCCCTTGATCAAAATTTCACTGAATTTACCCGATGACTCGAATTCCCCACTAACTCGAAATGTTTCTCATTTCCCTTCAGAGTTCGAGTTACCAGGGTTCTACTGTAATTTGATTCTGCTACCTCTGCGTCACCAAAGACGCAAAATAATTCAATACTTCGTAGGACGCAAAGATCGATGGATCGGTCTGAAAATGCTTTTAGTAGAATATCCTGTTCGTGTGATTTCTGTGGCTGTTCTTGTGGCTACTTTTAACGACGCATATTTTTTAGCCTTTACAATAGAAGTAGTATATTTTTATTATAGTAAACTGTAATACAGAGTTTTGTCTTTTGTTTTTTGGAACTGAGACTCATGATTTTTCACAAGATGAGTCCCAGGACTCACCATAACTGTTTGCAACAAAATCACTGATTGGACTTTTCTAATACACTCGTTTTTTTTATAAGAATATATTTTATAAGAATATCGAGGGTGAAATTTGCGAAATTTTAGGAATATTTTAAGAATAAAGCCGAGGCTGAGATTTTGAAAAGGATAGATATGATTTTGTGTGTTCAAACATCTGTAAATAATATACAATTTTATGTTTTTAACTTAACCGTATAAAATTATTCCTTTCTCTGAACGGCGAAAAAAAGTGTCGTTTGACGTGACATCTTGACCTCGCTGACTGCAACGAAAAGAGATGGAGCACGTGTACAATGTAACGCGATACAGATCTAGATACCAAACACTTGTAATTGATACCCCAATAAATTCTAAAAGCTATAATTTAAGAATAATACAAGAATATTTTCAGCCTCAAATTGGCAGAAAAATAAGAATATTCAGCCTGGGTCGCAAAAACAACATTCTTATAAAAAAAAAGAGTGTACGCATAGTCTTCGACCAACAAGTACCCTAAATATGTTTTGCCCATTTTTGGTCTCTTAAACTTGGGAAAATTCACGGAAAGACTAACCAGTGGCAAAATCTGTAGACACTAGACTATTAAAACTGAGCTGATGATTTTGACCTTACACTTTATCTCAGCTTGGTAACGATTACTTGGTAAGGTGCGAATGCATCATTTGTATTCTTGCTATGGTTTGTATGTATTTTTTCCTTTTGTTTTGCAAAAGGCAATTCTTAAAGTACAGCAGTCATTGATTAACAACCTCTGGGGATTTTTGAGTTATCAAGGCCGTACGGTTCTCCCAGAAGTCACAAGGTAATAAACATTACATGCATTTCCACGTTAGTGTTTCAGTGTCAGGTTTAAACTGGCTCTCAAAAGTATTACCCTATTTTAGGAACCGTTCATTTTTTATCAAGTAGGGGGGAGGGGGGCTGGTGGGATTTGAGCGGGGGCATGAGAAAAATATGGCTTTAAAGGGGGGAGGGGTCACCAAAAAACTCCTTCAATTTTTTTTTTTAGTAAACAAGCCGGTACTGTTCCCCAATAGTTGAAAGGTTAATAACAATTAAATTAATTTCCCGTTTAGTTGTTAATTGTCAGGTTTAAACTGGCTCTAAAAAGAATTACCCTATTTTAGGACCCGTTATTTTTTTTTCAGGAGGGGGGGGGGGGGGCTGGTGGGTTTTGGGCGGGGGCATGAGAAAAATATGGCTTTAAAGGGGGGAGGGGTCACCAAAAAACTCCTTCAATTTTTCGGTGACGGCAACCATCCTACCAGAATGCAGAAAAACCAGCATTCCTCGGTAACATTCAGAAAGTTCAGATTTTCCCGGGGAAGCATGTCCCTAGACCTTCTTACACGAAAAGGTAATTCTGTCCCAGTAAAATGTAAAAAAGCATAGAAGCATACCAAATCGAACGTTTCATTAGGAAAAAGTAACAAACTCAGTTAGTCATTTTTCACTTTCTCTGTCTTCTACTCTCTCTTTCTTTCTTTTCCTTTTCTTGTTCTTTTTTTTGGGGGGGGAGGGGCGGTCATCTCGATTAATTTGGGACACAAGTGGGGAGGGGGGAGCGCCCACAAAATTTCTTATGAAGAAGGGGGGTCATCATGTACTACAAGAGCTACCCGTCGAATTCCACCAAGCCCCCTCCCCCATTAAAAATGAACAGTCCCTTATATAAGTAGTCATTGTCCCGATTACACATTTCTCAAACCTCTAGTTAAACAACTTCTAGTTAAACAACAGTACTTATACTCTCACATGATGAAAAGACATTGCCTATAAATATTATTATTTATTTTTCTTTTTGCACAGCATTGCACAAAATGTAAGTCTGGACGAGTTGAATTGGGTAAGTTTTTTATGAGTGTTTTATGAGGCGACAGCTACTGTTAATTGGGACCACAGCAAAAGCAGAAATATAAGAAAGAACATGTAAAATAGAGCATTACGTTTCAAGAAGCAGGGCTATTGTTTTTCCTGTTCTTTTTTCCATTTTTTTTGTTAACGCATGAAAGCTAGATCTTGTCGTAGGATCCAATAAACACAACTGCATGTAAAACCTGCAGATAATAGGGCCAGTCTATGTTTCTGGCACAAGCACTGACAAATTCACTGTATTAAGCACATCCCAGGTTTCTATATTAGGTATAACTTGTGCAAATGTGCTCATGACGGTTGTCTCTGTGAAATTCTTTGCAGGAAGATCCACAGCAAGATGAATGGCACGCTGTTTTATTTATTGTGAGGAACATGGAATTACTGCTTGGAGTACGTATTTAAACGCAGTGAAGAGAAATGCACAATCAGTTATTTCATAGTGAAAATCGTCTAACAAATAATTGATACGACGTCTAACCAGGACAGTGCAAAGATGGGTTGGGGGGAGGCACCAACACGCATATCATGTCAATCATCCGATCAGCTGTACCTGTAGGTACAAAGGTATCACTACTATTATGACATTAGTACCATAACATTAGTAACTGCAGAATCGAGAAATAAAAATCTTTCTTCTAAACGAGAAAGGCAAGCCAAACAAAAACTACTTTTATTCTATTCTAGAAAGAATCGCAGCAGAATAGGGAAACATCACCACACCAACTGTTAAAAGAAGCGTTAAAGGAACTACGGAAATACTTTCTGTCAAAGCACACAGTTGTCTCAAAAGAGGCTACAAGGTACATATATTTGAAAAATAGGTGTTTCTGTTAGCTTATAAACATTTTATGAACTAATTTCAAACTTTACTGTTACAGAAAATTGTTACTTCCTTTTCTTATCATATACAGTACCTACAACCCTGTGTTTTTGTTCAGCATTTAAAAGAGGAAATTAAGACATGACATGTTCAGTCATTTTGTAGCATAGTAACGTGTAACTTGAGGTTCAACAACACCATATGATACTTCCCTAACTATGTGCGATCTGGTTAGGAGAACTGTTATACATAATGACTGTGATACAAATTCTCTTTCACAGCCATTGTCAAGGCCAAGAATGGAGTGAAGACACTTTGGTACGTTTTACAAATCCTTACATTTATCTACCAGATCTTAAAACACAACAGCAAATTTTTCTTGATAAACCGATGAAATATCAGCACATCATGCCTCGAGCCCTTGAAACCTCAATGCTCACAACACTTGCAGATCAAGAAGAAATGTTGAATAATCTTGAATGAAAAAGATCGTATTGAAATACAGACGTGTAAATATGTAAGGAAAGTTAAACCGTGAAGTAGACAAGCATCATATTGAAGGGATGATAGTTTCCATTTATCAGTGTTCGAAAGTGCTTGTATGCTGGTAGTTGTTTTCAACGGTAACAAGTTTGTTGTAGCTTACAAGCAAATGGAGTCCTAGATCAAATTTTTTTTTTTTTTTCAATCAAAAATTGTTGCAAATTTACTACCATAACGTTAACAAGAGAAAAATTGAAAGCAGATCCCAGAGTAACTACAAAATCATGACTGTGCAGTGTTGAATGTTAAATGTTATTCCTTTTGTAGTTAACTAGAAATATAATAGAAGATTGCAACGCTGTTGTCCATATCCTTCAGCAAAATACAAGATTATTGGAAATAAGTGAGGTGAGTACCTTCGAGACTCAATCAACTGTTATTTGATGAAGCTAACTAAAAAAAAATCCAGTTCAGTTCACCAACACATTTGTCCCCATCATACTTTACCCTAGAATAATTTAATTACCACGTCAACCAAATTCAATAACACTTTAAGCCCCAATATCCACATACAAATTCTTCAGACTGATCTACATACATCTCAACATTCTCATGCACATTTCTTTTGATTATGTATTGATACTGTTAAAAGAAAATTAACGTTGACCACTCTTGGTACTTAAGGGTTAACTCTGATAATTACCCTTACTTACTTCATTTCTGTTTAACTTAGTAACTTTTTATAGTAAAGGTGACTGAAGCATACCTTCACTTTTGGTGTAGTCAGCATCAGTAAAACAATTCAAAGTAAGAAAATAAGATCGAGTACCTGAGTATTTGAAGCATAACAATTTTTATAAGTATAAGGTCTCTTTTTACGACAAGCACGTATCTGTTTCGTAAAAAACTCAAATGCTCTCGCATTTCAGATGTGTTTAAGAACAGGTCCTTTCTGAAATAATTACAAATTAAAATTGGCTGATAAATTTTTTGACCTACAGCACGTTGGCAGTCTTGAAGACTTGTATCAACCTCTCAACAGGATACTGAATTATTTGAAGAATAGATCAATCAAGCTACAACAATCAGTATCCTCCGCAAGGTAATTCGTGTAAAACTACCTAAAGCTGCTTCTGACTGGCTAGAAAATATTTTCTCACAGGGTGTTATTGCGGCCTATTAACTGTAAGCCAATCACAAAGGTTATTATTACCAAGAACATCTGTGTCAATACTAGAGGCAAAAATTTCTGTATCGTCCACATTTGAACAGGGGGTAGTAAATTCTAAGCAATTTGGTAAGTCATAGGGCCATGAAAAGACCCTTAAGGAACTCCACAGAGTAAGTTTCTATGAGAAGATAAATATATACATTAGAAAACAGTTTTTGTTGTGGGGCGGTAAGATAGGACTTAGACCACATCAGTTCCCTATCAGAGACTCCATAAAACTCAGCTTTGTCTAATAAAACCGAATGATCAATTGAATCAGAGGCCTTGTTACTGCCCCTGGGTCTCCAAGGATAGGTTTAGTAAGCTAACTATAGAGGAAGAAATATAGAAGTGGGCTAAAAAGATTTTCAATCAAGGCCAAATAACCCCATCGCTGTTCTGCCAAAATTTGCCCCTGGTTTAAATTAGTTGTACATTGGTTTGTGACACTCTCACAAAGATAAACAAAATATCTATATAGTTCTCGGCAAAATTATTCTATATTATTTAATGAGGGCAGCACTTAATAGCCATAGGCTTGTGGCCCTCAATAAATAATTTATTGCAAATTGGTAATAGAAAATTGTTATTAAAAGTATTATTATGATACAACCTGTTTCATTTCTACACAGTGATGAAGAATATAGATTGATAAAAGAACTGACTGAGTCGGTAAGTGAAATTTGTAAAATAAACTTACCAATTACAAGTCTTAAAACTAAATATTAATGATAATGTTATTTTCACATACAAAAAGATCACCGTTGCTATGGCTACATAATAGATTGTGTTTTTTGCAACAAAAAACTATTTAAGTGAAATGGTTTGGCATTCATTGGTGTTTACATAATAAATAGAACATTAATGGACGCTTGGAGATACGAAATTTCTCTTCTCGTGTTGAAAAAAATATTTCACTCATTTGCGTTATTTTTCAACACTCAAAGAGAAATTTCATATCTCTGCGCAGCCATGTAATATCCTCTATAAAAAATATTACTATTATCATTATTGTAAATAGAGAATGAAATGATGTAAGTGAACTAGTACACGGTACCTCGATTAGGCAGTTGGCGAACAACAATTTTATAGTACCTCACCTCAACATAATAATCTTCATGCAGCAGCTTCCAAATAAACATTATTGGGCTGTTTTTAGACAGTCTATAATGTCAAGATTCGAAGTACACTTGAAGTTACAACTGAAGCAAAAGGAAAGACAACAAATGATAAATAAAACACAAATTTGAGCACAAAGCAAATTGCTTTTTAATATCATTTTTAGCATAAGTGACATTGCACATTCTACTTTTTATTTATTGATATATACTAGAGTATCTTCAACTAAGCCCCAATTTCAACAATAAACAACTTCAAACATGACAACAAAGGGAACTGTTATACAATTTTATTCACCTCCATAACCTCTTTTTGGGTATTGATATGCTGTAAACTGCAGCTTATATAAGCCCTGGGGTTTTAGGAGGGTTTATAAACAAAGAAGCTTACATCTAAGGGGCTTATAACCGGACAAGAAAAACAACTTTAAAACAAGCTATGACAGTGCTGATCAAAATGTTTTGCATTTACTGGTTTTTAATTAGGCTTCATAACGTCACAATAAATTAAATTCATTTCAATATAAGTTAGACGGGGGTCTATAGCCACCGGGGGTTATAATCAGATGTGTATTTTGTTTACAGGTACATCAGCCTATAACTGGGGTGGGGGGGGGGAGAATTAATTATATTATAAGTGGCAGTTTATGGTAGGCTATGAAAGATGACAAAAAAGATGGAACTAGTAAGCAGGCAAGAAGCAAACATAGAGACAGGATCATGTAAAACTGCACATAAGGTTTTATTTCCATGGTCTTTAAATTATTTTTGATTTCCTTTATTCAATGATAGACTAATTTAAAAAACAGTTTCATATAGGATAATAACAATCATATAAGTTTGTATTCCTTTATCTATGAAGTCATTAAGTCCCAGATATATATTTTAATATTATTATTCAATAATCAGGCTTTTTTCCTTCTTTTGCAGATACCAGTTGAACTGGACAATTAGCTTCAAGCATCAATCCAGCTAGAGATGTTGCTCCCACAACGCCTATTAAACAACTTACACAGAAGTTAAGAGGAGTAATTCGAGAGCTTTATACAGTGTATATAATTTTATTAAATATTGAAGTGTTTTCTATTATTGACAACTGTTACAAAAATGTAATAATTCAACACAGTTGTTGTTAAATAATAGGCAATTGATATCAAATGGTCCATTAAATTTACATAAATATTTTTCAAGGTTTGTTTTTTATGGTAAAGTAAACAATTTTCAAACTAATGAGGTAAACAAAATTTGTATATTTAAAATGGATAACCATTGAAATTGAAATGGAAGTAATCCATGGAATAGAGAATAAACTTTAAATAAAACCTGTCTAAGGCCCCATCGACATTAACCAACATTACCAGTAAATACTGGTTATCTACACAAGTCCCGGTGATAAAGTTTACCATGCATCTTTTGATCTTTGGATAAAATGTGTTACTTCACTATGAACAAATAATTTCCATCCACAATAAAAAGCAAAGCATGCATTTTCAAATTTTATCCACTTGGATAACAATAATAATAATAATAATAATAATAATAATAATAGTTTTATAGTAATAAATTACTACGATATAAAATTATTATTTTATTGAAAACAAAGCTAACTATTGAAATCCTATTTACAATTAATCCGCTTAAAAAAACTATTCACTCAAAACACCATTTACAATTCCTTTCGATTAAAAAAACACTTAATTTTGATTGGGAAAACTTCATTTAATTAAAAAGTATATAATCGAATTTAAAAAAAAAAACATTTCATTTCAATTAAAACGCTGAATTCATTTCGAATTTTTTTTTTAAAAAACTATTTTCAAGGGTAAACAACATTACCAAAAAAGAAGAAAATAAAACAGCATTGTCAATGCCACAACGAATAGCTTGTCCTTTTTCAATATCTAAGTCAATGTCTGACAATTCTAAATTGACACTCCTAGAAACAGTCGGAAACTTCTTAAGCAAAGTAATGCTGATCTCAGCAGTGCAAAAGACACTCTTGCCCTGATCCATGACATGGTAGTCGCATAGCTGTCACCCTTCTTTGTAGCAACTAGCTAAGCAAGCCTACTATGTTATCGTTTACATTCCACTGCCATTCCACCTCTCGTGCTGAAAACTAAGGGCATGAACGTAGCTTGCTCTAGCACTCAGCTAACGTATTGGTGCTTCTTCTCTGTTTCGTGTTGCCTAAATATCTGGTATGGATCCATGTCTCTATAACAGGAGTCTGCGTTCAGGTGGCATCCCCTCACATCAAAGGTATAAAATTCATTGGCAGATGGTGGAAATCAAACATTTTACAGCGCCAAAAAAAATGCCAAATTTCAATTTTCAAGACGTGCAAACTGGCTGTGGCGGACAAAATACTCAGCGCCCCCCAGCGTGGCCAGAAAATTATTGTGAATCAATTATTTTTCACACAAAATTGAGTGGGCGGTTTTTACTGAGACACCCTCTTAATAGTCATAATTAAAAATGGGAAACTAATGTGCTCCGTTACCAGGAATTTTTTTCCCTGGTAAAAAGACATTGTAGCATTTTCACGATATCCCCCAAATGGAGAGCTTGCTTGCAGGCTAAATGCATTGCCACTTTTATTACATACAGTGACTGTGCATTGTCACACATTTCCCTCAAAAGTCTCCAGAAAAATTCGTTAAAAGCATTACTCATATGACAATATACTGATCATAAACTTGGAAGTTTCAGTGTTTTATACTTTTAGCTTTTAAGTAAACATGAAATAAATATTGTTGTGTTGTAATCATCTTATTGCTTGCTTTGGCGTATACTGTGCTGATAGCACTGCCTTTGCTTCTTTTCCCTATGGGTCTAAGTATATTTGTACACGTACCATAAACAAGTATCCTACTACAGTCTATTTACAAAAGGGAATACATCATAAGGATATTAGGGTTTGAGGTCAATTCTGAATCACTTGCGGGGGGACCCTCCCTGCAAAGGTCATTATAGAGAGTGTCCCCCCCCCCCAAACCTCTGAGACTCAAAGAGCCAGGGAAAACCAGGGTATATTTTGTCAATCAACCGTCAACAATCTCAGTGGCTTCTAATCAAAGAGTACAAGAAAATATCCCAAATAATAAATAATAAATAATAAAATATTTATATAGCGCTTATACTTTTCAGTTCTAAGCGCTCCCAAAGTTGTAATGTTCTTTTTTTTGTTCATTAGAAGGGGGAAAAGAGAAATGTAGATAGTATGTCATCTGGAAAATACTGAACTCATTCCTATACAGTGCATCCCCACTTCATGAATGCCCCTTTTAAATGAACAGACATTCCTTACACTTTGGTGGCCCAATGATGACTTTTTTTCACTGCATTTCGATTTTAAGCGGAAGCCAAGTCTTGAACTCTTAGAAGGCAGGGTTTTCACACCAAAAGAAAAAAGCACTTCTGCACTTTAAGTTATAAGCTGTCATTAAAAGACAATTTGAAGAGAAAGAATTTCACAAGCAATGGTGTCAGTGTCAGCAACAAGAACGCCAAAAGACAGTAGGTTCAATTTGCAAAACAATAACTCTGCACATGCATCACTATCTTTAATGCATTTCGTTGCCTCAACTGCAACGCGAAATTGCCTTAATTTTCGTTCAATGTGTAGTTCCAGGAAATATCCATACCCCCACAGAGGGCATTTTTGCTTTAGCCCCCCCTCCCCCAGAATGGAATTCCAGGGGGTGTTTGTCAAGACCCCCCCCCCCCACCCTCTAGAATTTCCAACTTGGTTTGGCAACCCCTGAAAAGACTATAC